TTGGTCTAAACGTGTCACGTGACCGAATATTCCCCAGCTAAAACTGGGGAATATCCGAGAATATTCCCCAATTTTCAAAACTGCACGCGTTGCGAAAAAGATTTGAAGAATAATAAACACAATAGCCTCCATTTGAGGGGGAAATATGCTCAGATATTTGTCCTTGGACATTATCTGTTCCTCGAAGCTCACAGTTTTCCTCGAGCTATGCCCTCGGAAAACTGTTAGCTTCTCGGAACAGATAATGTCCGCAGACAAATATCCTAGCATATTTTCGCACCATTGAAATGGAGGCTATTGTTTATATATCCCACGAGTCACTTGTATGTAATTTTCTGGGTATACACACAAGCCTTTACTTATGCAATGCTCTCATGGTATACCACAGAATATCCCACAAGTTACTTGTATTTTCCCACTATATGCGCAAGCCTTTATAATTTACTATTAGGACTTGAGAGGCATGTTGAGCTAATTGTTTTATGTCAGAATCTTGTTACATGTATCTTGTCTGAAATTCTTTTTTTTTAAGGAAAAGAACATTGTAGTCAAAGTTTGCGTTACTCTGATGTGTGCAAAATATTTTCTTGGTCATTTTTTCCTTTCTACTGGTATGTTTAGAAGTTTGACATCAGTGAGCTTGTGGCAAAGCGGATGGATTCCCAGCGTCGGCTTCAGGGTGATCCCAATGATATTGAAGCCTTGTTGACGCTACAAGAAATTCAGATGAAAATGCAAAATTGGTGTCAATCAAATGTCAAGCCAGGACAGTTTACTGGAGAGCTTGTTAAGAATCTTCTGCCAAAGGAAAATTTGCAAGGAGGCTTCCAAGCATGGGCCAAAAAGGTAATTTCTAGAACTGAATTGACTTCTCTTTGAACACCTCGAAGTTCATCACAAATACTCTGCTACACATTGTATTTTGAACTCTCCTCTTGGTGTTTGGAAATGTGTTCAAACACGCACAGTCTTTGATGTTTCATAAAAATTACTTTGAAACCCTTGTTGAAATAGGTTACTTTTAATTAGTGTACATGTACAGTATTTTTATTCTCTCAGTCTATAAATTGCAAAAATTTAAAATTACATTATATTTACAGCTATATAGTATTGCTCACACACATTGATAATGAGTTTTGAGAAGGATGGAAAGCAGATAAGCTCAATACATGTAACATATGATTGTAAATTATCTATTTTTTGCAGGACATGTTTCATAACCTTACCCCAGTTAGTGGAGGTATTGGGATGAAGCTTCTTCAAAAGATGGGTTGGAAGCCTGGTCAAGTGATTGGTAAGAGGGGTGAAGGATATGCTGAACCCATTGCTCTTACTGTCAAAATCGACAGGAAAGGTCTCAGTACTGGCAAGGAGAAGGCCACAAAGAAAGGTGCTCCTGCAATGTTGGACCTACAAGGTATGGTAGTTCAAGAAATCTGTTTCTTTGTTGTCACTATTATTATTTACTTTAAGCAACAGAGCAATTTTCGATGTTTACCTAGCCTCATCTAAACACGAGGAGAGATTCAGAGAATTCAAGACAGTTACGCAAACCCTCGACTGCATCTTGTGTTTGCATAACTGTTGAGAATTCCCCCAACCCTCTAAGTGTTTAAATGAGGCTATGTCAACATGGAAAAGACTACCTGTATTGCTTTTATTAAATATTTCTTAAGAATACATGAAAATCTAAAACGTGACAACTGTGTTTACATATTCTCATCTAAACACACCTATGGACCTATGAGTCTTGAGCATGTGCGTAGTGTCCCGGTTTTAACCACAAATGTTATAATAGTTTAAAAGTAATACAATTTTAATTTTATTTGTAAGGTTAAAATAATATGGTTTCATGAAGAAAAACAAATTAAACATTTTGTGTGATACAGCTGCTTGACCCGATCAGGAGCAAACTGGCTATAGAGTCAGACTATTCAGTCAACATTCCTTTGAGCGCTCTATCCCCTAAAATTTACCTACATCATGAAAATTTAACATAACTCAAAATTTGTGGTTTGTCTTGAATTTTGGAAGTATCTGAGGAAAAAATAATGTTTTGAGATTCAGCTGAATGATACACCTAATGTACATCATTATTACGTACACATGAATTACTTCTTTTGGTGATATGTTTTTAGTGGTGTTTACCAAAGCAGTAGTTACACAATTATTTGCCATTCAACCTACAAATTGTACAAAGGGTTATTTAATGCACTTGCTGGTAATGCATGATAAATCTTTGACTACAGAGGCACTGGGATTTGAATTGCTTGCTGTCCAGAGAAAACCTTCTGTTATGTGATTGTCACTGTTTCCTTTTTTGAAGAACATGACATGGCTGTCTTTTATTTGTTGTAACTTTTTTTCTGTTATTGTTCTTTGTTTTCTTAAAATCTTTTCAGTTATGAGTTCATTTTCTATATCTTGATTGTTTCAGCTTTGTTATTGTCCTTTTCCTAATACATGTTCTTAACTTGTGAAGTTACTCCTTTACTTGTGAAAAAGATTTTTAATTGCTTTTGTGACACTAGGACATTTATTTATTCTAGAATTAACTTTTCTGTTCCTGCTGCACTTTCTCCTACTCATCTGATATGTTGTATTGCTGTTGTTTCTATAATTGTATTATTTTATCACTTTTCTTTGATCAACATTGTGGTTGTTCATTTTCAATTTCTCATCATTAAGCGCTGGTTTACCCTTGGTGATAAAGTTGGAATTGGAGTCAGATTCAGAAGAACAGGAGCTCAATACAATCACTACAATAATTATTATTGCAGTCATGTGGAAGCATAACAGGATTTCCATTAAGGGCTTAGGGGCATTGGGAAAGTTGGCTGGCTGTGACGTTGATTTTGCCCACCTGGTTTCACCATCTAGAGGAAAAATTTTCCTTATGAAGAATTTCAGTTCAAAGAGTTATACCCACCTGTGAAATCCAATTGCCATTGCTGAAAATGTTAATGAAATAATGGTAGCAATATCTTGATCATTATACCTCCAACTGCTATTTGTAGTACTTGTTTTACTCTTGAATTAGTGACTTTTACTCCAATTCTGACTCTGTCACCATTGTATAAGAGCCCAGTCTGACTGTTAAGTGTCTGGCTTAAGCAGTAATGACAGCATTTTAATCGTCATCAGTGTACAGTGTAGAATGGCCCACTGAATTGTGCCATTCTACACTGATGCACCATTGAAAACAAATAAATTTCTCCCAGCAGTGAAAGGCATCAGTCTTTTTGTTACCAAGCCTGTACACAAGCAATTCAATTTGCAATGCCTCTTGATCCGATGTTACTGAGAATTTTAGCACTGCAAGGAAGATCATTCTGTCAAATGGTCACCATCTGAAGACTTGTTTATGATGAAGACAGGTAAATATTACTGGGTGTGTGTTGTGTCTGGGAGCTTTCATTCTTGACTGAACCCTAAGTGAATTTCAGAATCCTCCATTCAAGATGTTGTGATCAACAGATTTCAATTGCAAAGTGTTATAAAGACCAATATGTACTTTCAACTTAAAGTTGGTTTTTACAATAAGCCATTTGCGAGTTGCTGTTACCTCTGTCTCAAAACGAGTCTTAGCGGTGCACAACCTTTCATTATCATGTGGAAATGAGTTTTTGTTGCACGTTCATTGTCTCGCAAATCAAGCTCATTTCTTCATGAAAGGTTGTGCACCAAGACATGTTTTGAAACAGAGGTAAAAGGCAACACGGAAATGGCATATTTTTAATGGCACAAGCTTTAAAGTTGATTTTAAAAGTCTTACAATGTACTTTTGGTTATCACATGATTTTGTGGGACCATCTTTATGTAATCTGATACGCATAGTTTCCAAAACATACAGTTGATGAGGATTTTCTTGATGTTTGACATGCAAATGTTAACTTTTCACATGTTTTCAGTGCTCCAATCTGAATGCCCTGAACAAAATGAAAATAACCGAAATTTAATGGTCATCCTCAAATTTGACTTAAGACTAAACATAAGATTGTTTGGGGGCTGCACTAAGTACTTGCACCCAACATGCTAGCATATTAATTGGTTATGAAAACAGATTAAACTTCAGTTCTGAAATTTGAAATCTTAGCATCAAGAATGAAAGATTCAGACCCAGACCACCCAATGGTCCCTTCCAAAAATGAGGAGAGACATGGGAACCATTCTGTAGAATATAACTGTTTTGAATGAATCAATATTGTATTGATTTCTTTGAAAACATAGATTTGTAGCTCTGTAAATGGAAAATTATATCTTAAGAGATTACCGGTTATATTATTTAATTTTGAAACACTGTTCTGTTAAAGTTCAAACTTTAAAAGATGATCTTTGTTCAGATGCCTTTGTTTTGAAAGATCCCAGTATTGCAGAATTGCTCCCACTTCTCTCCTCATTTTTGGATAGGACTTCAATGAAAGATCAATATCCACCAATACATCCACTTGTACATATTATTTATTTAAAAGAGATATATATTTAAAAAATTTGGATATGCCTGCAGGTAGCAAAAGTTAATCAAGGCAAGTCATGGCTTGACCAAGAAACAATGAAATACTCGATCAAGTCACAAAACTAAATGTGATTTACGTGTGTTAGAAAATTGGCATGGGAACTCAAATATTTCACACCATTTTATAAGGAGCTCTCCAATTACACGTCAACCAAAAAGAGTATGACACAGCTACACTTAACTTTTACATACATGAAATCATGACCCATAATTTTCTTTTTTTGCTTTAAGAACCAAATGTTATTTTCATTGGTAGTGAAGAGGTTGCAGGCCATTAATTGGAGGATGAAACAATGAACATCTAATGACAGAATGCAATGATAGTGCAAATTATTTGAATCATTGTCAAGAACACTGGAGTCAGATTTTGTACTATAGTGCATTTTTAGTGTTCTTTTTTCTTGCAAAGAGATTGGCTCAGTGTTTCTTGGGATGTTGTACAGCAAGAATGTTTGTCAGCTACAAGCATGATTTGGCTTTTTTAAGATGCCTACATAAATTGTTCAGTTTTTTGAAACAACGGTGTTATCTTGGCTGATGAGTTTTTTAGAAGTGGCAATGGTATTTTAAGTTTAATGTGCAGTTCCAGAATATATCCATACTCCCCCTACTGAAGGGATTGGAATTTCCTGGGGGGTGATGGGTCTCTAAGACCAATACAATGTAACAAGCTTATTGGAATTTCCAGAGGGGCGAGGGGTCGTAGAAAAAATCCCTTCCGTGGGAGAGGTATGGATATTTTCTGGAACTACACAATGAATGTAGTTGTATTGGTGGATATCTTTCTTTCTTTCTTTCTTTCTTTCTTTCTTTCTTTCTTTCTTTCT